TGGTACATCCAAAATGACCCTCTACGCACGGAATCACCCACCAGCAGTCGCGCATGAAAACTGCCCCTCCATTGTTGCTGACGTTGAATTGTTTGGCTTGTTTCAAAAGGCTATGCATAGCCATGGTTCTCTAGTCATGTTTTCTTCAATTCTGTGTAATAGTTCTCCCTCACAACGTATCAACACCACGACGGTTGGTTTGACAAACTACATAAACTCGGGAGGGATGGTGCCGAAACGCGCGGGAGTCTTGTTCGAGGAACATGAGCATTGGAAGTCGCGAGGTGCAGCGAAGTGGTCAGTCATATTGCTAACTGAATCACAACAACAACAACAAAATTGCAGGGATCCTTAACTTAACTCAACATTTAACTAACACTGCTGTCATAACGTAACATAAGCCAATGTTCGCTATAGGTAAAGGGTACGGACTTTTGAAAGTACTTGCAAAAGTATATCCATAAAACTTAGAGACATAAAAAAAATAACTTACCCTTTTGAAAAGATGTTAGAAGTTAGGGGTAATAACTTTAACTCTTACGATAACGTTATTATGCCCTTATGAGGTAAGTTAAGGATCCCTGCAAAATTGTTTTATTGACAGAAAAAAAAAGTAATATTTGAGGAACTTTCTCAGAAAAGAAGAAGCTTTGATTTGCTAATTTTTTGTAAATATTTTTTTAGAAAGTTAACACATCAAAATTGGAAATTTGTTTTATATGAATTTTTATTAGCAAGAAACAAAGACAAAAAAAAGAAAGAGAGCAAAATGAATACAGATTTCAAATGCTGCAGTTGGTTAAACTGTTACAGAGGTTGCAAACCTACTGCGCATGTCCAAAAACACTCCGATCAAGAAGTAACATTGAATAGTTCTACCCGAAAAACTGCGTTCGAACCGACACCAATCCTATTGTTGCATCTTCTCCACCTGCAGTCAAAGAAATTTTTCATTTGGAACGTGCCATTTCAGCTTTTGGAGTAAGCTGTACTCTGCAAACTGAAGTGTGTTCATAGTACACTCTTTGGCTGAGCGATAGCGAAGTCCGTTACTCCAGTGGGGTTGAAAAGTTTTGTCTGTCTGCCTGTGTGTGTGTGTGTGTGTGTGCGCGCGCACTACTCCTAAACGGCTCGGTCGATCTGGCTGAGATTTTGCAGGCTCATTCGGTATGTTCTTGGCTCGGCACACGCGAAATTTCAGTATCCTAGCTCAACTGGTTCAGTTTAAACAGCCTAAAAATACCTAAAAGACGGCGAAATACTGAGTTTTCTCCAGGCAGATCACTTCTGTCTTGAAGAAAGGAGGGTCTAGGGGGCGGAAGACGCCCCCTTTCCATTTGCAGAAACCTCAAGGCCTGGCGGCCGCTTGAAAACTACTGCCAACGACACCAGTAAGAGTCCAAAAGAGAGGAAAGTTCTCATTGGTGAGGGCATTCTAGATGAACTCAAAAAGTTCAATGAGACTTATGCTGCAGAAGTGAAACTAAAGCAATAATTGTTTGTACTGATTGCTGAGCGAAGCGAAGCACCCTGTTGGGGACTTTGAACATCCAAATTGTCCGCCCCCCCCCCGGATACCTTTAGTTTACTACAGGTATCTTATTATTGATCTTAATCTTATATCTATATATGTATACATAGTCCGAGGTCAATAGTCCAAGGTCAATAGTCCGAGGTTAATAGGGGTTAAAAAACCTTTTCTGTCTGCGTGCGTGTGTATGCACTACTCCTTCTGAACGGCTCGGCCGATCTGGCTGAGATTTTGCAGCCTTATTAGGTATGGTCTTGGCAAAGCACACGCGAAATTTCAGTGTACTAGCTCAACTGGTTCAGTTTAAACAGCCGAAAAACACCTATAAAACGGCGAAAAACTGAGTTTTCTCCAGGCAGATCACGTCTTTCTTGAAGAAAGGGGGGTCTGGGGGGCGGGGTTCCCCAGCAGCGACAAGTTAAAAAAGTTACAAGGGTCAAGATCGTGTTATCTGTAGATGAAGCAACTCTATCAAGTTAGAAGTAGCCGACGATGGACAAGCCACTGCCTGCTGAAGGCAGGCTTGCGCCGCAGGCCAAGGTAGGTACGCCAGGCGCGGATTGGAGGAACAGGCCGCGAGACATCGCGAAGTCTGTTATGACAAGACGCGGTCTGGCGTAAACCTACCTTGTATAAATAACTTCCATATTTTCACGGAGAAAATCCGTAAGTTATAAAAATGGAGATCTCCGTTAAAAAAAAATGGACAGTCTCCGTTAAATTTCCGTATTTTTACGGAGTTTTTGACAGTGTATGTTGTGTTAAACATGCGATCATCTTGCAGCCCAGACACGCTTTCAGCAAGTCTTGACCATGCATGGCTGAGTGCGGAGATGTTTGTTGGGTCGTGCACTGTTTAAGATAATGTTGTAATTTATCAGTAAATATGTTGCTAATTTTCTGAATGATAAAAGTTGTTTACAAATGACTATAGTTGTTTACTAACGACTTGCGTTGTTCGTCAACAAGATGTTTGTAAACCAGAAGACATCCTTGATTGCACCACTTTTGAATGCGATTAAGTCACAGACCTAGTATACACTGTAAAAATTTATGTTCGGAATAAACGACGGATCCTTCGGCAAAAAAATTGCCAACGGTTCCTTCGTTAATTTACGAAAGTCTTCGTATATTTACAAAATCCTTCGTTAATTTTATAAACGATCACTGTCGATTTTACAATCACAAAGGAAATTTCCGAAGCACCTTCGTGAATCTACAAAGATCCTTCGTAAATTTCCAGGGAACCTTCGTTAGTAAACAAAGAACCTTCGTTAATATACAGAGAACCTTCGCAACTTAACGTCTGGAATTAACGACGGATCCTTCGGCAAAAAATTGCCAACAGATCCTTCGTTTATTTACGAAGACCCGTCGTAGATTAACGAAGCCCGTCGTAAATTTACGAAGGGCTTCGCAAATTTAGAACAGACTTTGTACATTTACGATTTTTCTTCGTAAATTTACAAAGAACCTTCGTAAATTAACGACGAACTTCCGTTGATTTACAAAACTTCCTGTAGGAAAGAAACATTTACAGTGCACTTTTGGACATTCCCAAAAACCTTCGTAAAATATTCCGTTGTAAATTCACTACATAATTTTTACAGTGTAAAGATGGGGGGGTTCACTCAACCCTAAACTTGGTCCAAGCGACCTTAAACAGCACAACCGGTGTTTGCTTGCGCCTTAGTCAGGGCAAGAGGAACCCACCCCTCCCAGGTCATAGTCGCGAGACGGCCGGGGCTGATCTCTTCGGAGTGGCAGGAACCTTCGGGGGAGAGCCGAGACACTGGTCCCTATTTATCATACCAGTCGATTATCAGCAGCAGGGTGGGCTAACCACTCACTCTCAGAGTGCATACAGTGGCCGCCCGGTAAAACCACAGGAGTGAAAGGCCCCTGCACACTGTTAGGGTTAATACCAAAACCTACCAAGTCACTTAGGTCCCTAACGCTCAAATCAGAGCAGTCTTTATTAATTACACCACTTGGGCCCTTCACCTCCACTTTCTGAGCACACAGAGTGCGAAGAAGTCGTAGAAGAGACCAGGGCGGGATAACTTAACGTTACCGATAACATAACGGAAAGTCAAGAGATACCGTTATTTCTCTTATAGATGGTTGGTTAGTTATTTTTTTTAACGAAAATTTTGTGTTATTGTCGTGATAACGTTAAAACAATACCAAAGCACTTTGCGTTATTGAAATAACGGTAATGTGAATAACTGGAATAGCTTTGCGAAAAGATAACGGTTATTTCTGCCAAAAGACAAGAAGAAATAACGTTATCTCCGATAACATTTAGAGCATGGTTTGGAATTAAAGTTAATATTTGGCCTCTCGAGTTCACTTTTATGTTAATAACTATATCCGTTTCAATGATAGGAAAGAAATAACGTTATTTCTCTTAAAATTAAGAACATGTTACGAAATTAAAGTTAAATGTTTGCTCTTCGATTACTTTAAAAAGCTCTGAGCGATTGCTGCACAAAAGAGACAGAGGTTGACATGGGCATGAACGAGGCGCGCAGCAGTAGCGGGTCTAGCCCTAGAGCCAGCCTGAGCGGGGGGCAAAGTGGTACCTTTTGCCTGCTTACTGGAGCAAAGTGATGCTTTTGGCCTTCGAGCGGATCTAGAATCTAGGGGCAAGGTCCACCTCGTCCTCCGCTCTCCCCCTTCCCCCCATCTTTACCCCGTTTTGCGCTTCCCGCGTGGCGGCTAATCTTAGAGCCATCATCTGAAGTTAGAACTTTTGGCGGGGAAAGGGGTCGAGTGGAAGTTTCTTCCAGATAAAAAAACATACTGGAGTTTTTTTTAAAAAAAGAATTCCGTCTTATGACGTCGAGAAATAAAATAAGTGTCAGGAAAAGAAGTAAGCAAAAAAATTGGAATTGCAACTGATAGGTGAAAGCCGAGAAAAATTTTCTTTGCGTTCAATGATTGTGCAACGTCCTATTTTTCGGGTTTTTTTGCCGTTGCAGTGGCTTTAGAGACTCGATCTTTCCTTTAAAATTTTGTTTGCTCATTATGCAATAGCCGGTTGAGTACCGATTGTTTGTTCAGTAAATATGTCGACTCTTGAGATATCAAGGACATTATTTTATTTCGGTTCCAGTAAAAAAAAATTTCCTTAAATAAGGCAAAATATTCTATGCAAAATAAGCAAAGGACATTTATTGAAAACTTTTAGAGCTTAACATCACAGTAAAGTCTAGAAACTAAAAACAAATCTGGCAATGTCACAGCACAAAATCAAACAACAAGTGCAATAATTTTTCACACATATAATATATACTTCATGTATCATATACACATGTATATCATAGTAGGAATAAATTGTCGATAACAATTGAAGTGGTTAAAGAAAACTGGTTAACAAAACTAAACCAAACAGTATAGGCTTCTAAAGCTAAAAATCACAGCAAAAAAAACCTAGAAACTAAAAAAATACATTCTGGAAGCTGGCCTAATCTTCCGTTGCAGACGGGCGTCGGGGCGGCGGCTTCTTCTGCAGGAGCTCCTCCACAACGCTCCGGACGACATCCTTGTTGGCATGTAAAAACATAACGTCATCTACATGCCTGGAGGAGAGTCCGAAGCGCTGCGGCCGGAGAATGAAACGGAGAGCTGAAAAAAGCCGCTCCACCGACACCTGTGACGCTGGGATGGATAGCACGACCATAGCCAAGGCGTAAAGCTCAGGGCAGAGCATCTTCTGCTTCTCCCAGTAGGTGAACACATTCTCCTTGGCAGAGAGGGGAGGTGTGGTCCTATCATGCTCGTCGAGCAGAGCCCTCAGGGTGGCTCTCCTGCTAGCCTTGTTGTTGCTTGCTCCAGTAGAGGACTGTGCTGCTCCCGTTACTGCGAGCCGCTCCTTGTTCTTGTTTTCCAACAGTCCGCGGAACAGGGCGGTTCCCTCGTCCTCGTCCTCCAGCAGCATGTCCTCGTCACTCTCGGCCCCGCTATCCGACTCAGACTCAGACTGAGGGCTTGTGGGATCCTCCAAATTCTTCATTCGGTCCGACAAGTCGAGTAGGTAGCTTTTCGCCTCCTGCACCTGCTCAGGAGTCAGAAGTGCCATGAAGCGGGGGTCGAGAAACACAGCGGCGCAGAAACTGGGGTAATGAAAGAGCGGCTCCTGTTTGTTGCCCTTGCTCCTGTCCTTGTACGGGACCGCCTTGGCGCGCTGCTCCATCGCCTTGAGGAGGCCTCGGGCCAAGGACGACGCATGCTTGCGCTTCTCCAGGGCCAGCACGACGCCACTCCAGACGGCGAAAAACTCGCCCAGAGTAATGTCCTCCCTCTGGAGCTGCGTGGTCGCCAGACGCACGGGCTTGAGGTCTTCCAGGATGCCGTCGACCCTCTCCCATTCTTCATCTGAGAGGTCATACTCCATTCGAGCGCTATTACTCCACTGGAAAGTATAGTCGAGGAAGTTGCGTAGATTTGCTACGCTCTTCAGCATGTCATATGTACTTCCCCAGCGAGTGACGACATCGAGCTGGGGCAGGGGCATCTTGGCTATACGAAGTTCTCGAGCATGAGTTTCTCTCAGCAAGTACTTCGCCAACTTTCTCACTGCATCAATTGTCTTATTCAGATCCTTCTCCATCTTCAGCGCGTCCCCTACGGACAGCTGCACGGTGTGACACGCGCAGCGCACTCCTTGCATGGAGAAATCATCTTGGTTCAGCTCGATGCTTGAGTGTAGCCAATCTCCTGCCAAATCGTCTTCAGCCTGCTGTTGGACTTCGACTTCTTCGACGGTCTGTGCAGTGGGAGTGGCGGTCTCCTCGGTGGTCTCCGCGGTGGTCTCCTTGGCGGACTCGACGGCGTTCTCCACAGTGGCCTCTTCATCCCCAACTTGCAGCTCGGCGAGGAGCTTTCCGGCCAGCACGTAGTTTGCCCCGCTATCCACCGTAAAAGCCACAAGCTGAAGGCGCGCGTCGATCCTGAACTTCTTTAGCGCGATGCCAATCAGCACCCTCAGGTTGTTGGCGGTGGCTGCCTGTAAGGGTAAAATAACTTTGTATGAGCAATTTGCACATAGACAGTCACGGACAAAGTTTTGATCATAGCACTTTGAAGAGAGAGGAGGAAACGGCTCGTGTTTTGAGAAGAATACACCCGTGAGTTAGTGGGCGCAAACGTGTAGGTTGAGGATAATTCGGGATAATTAGTGATTTGGAATTGGCTTCAGCACCGGTGAGTCAGGCAACCCACAGCGCTTGCCCATGCAGCCGGCTGCCTATCCTACCGGCGCGGCCGCCACACCGCACGCTCCGCAGCCGACACCGTGTTGTCCACTCGGTGCGCTGTGTTTCGGGTCTTGTTTCGAAACGAACTCAAACTCTGATTTTCGTCACTCCTTAATTGCTTTTCACTTTCAAAGGGGAATGGCACAGAGAAACAACCAAAATACGTAGAGAAGCCGCTCAGAACAGTGGTTCAGGCTTCGCCATTTTCTGTACTATTGACACTCTCATTCCAGGAACGTGACATCACGTTCAAACGTTTGTGACAAAGTGCCACGTTCCTTTGAACATTGCGTCACATTCGTATCAACGTGAATCAGCCAAATTGACTTTTTATCATTGAAACGAATGTGACGCAATTTTCAAAGGAACGTGGCACTTTTGTCACATTCGTTTGAATGTGATGACACGTTTCCAGAATGATAGTGGAGTGACACGAATGTTAGATGAGTACGATTTTAAAACAGCACCCAACACACGGCGCTGGACGATGTCAAGCGAACGAGGCCGGTAAGGTAGGCAGTCCGCTGCACTGGCAGGTGCGGTCGGCTGGCCAACTCACCGGCGGTGAAGGCAATTCCAAACACCAATTACCCGTACCAATACGTAAACGTCCACCAGTTCACAGGCGAAAACTTGCCACCTAGGGTTGCCGTAACCACCTTCGAATTATTTACAGAAGGAGTATTTTCACTTCTAATTACATTGATCAAAGAAATTGTTTTCACAAAACCAAAGAGTTGAATCCTCTGCCTCAAGTTTCAATCAAAATTCACTAAATTAGAGCGAGTTTCCGATGAATTTATGTCTTAAAGAGATTAGTTATTTTCCTTTACCTGCAACATCTCTTCGACGGCTAGAGTGCGCACAACAGATACTCCATTCAGGGTGAACTGCACGTTTATCCCAACGAAGTATCTGTGCCGCTTAGTGCACCCATCCACCTTCAATGAGACCATCTTGCCTTCAAGTTCAGATCTAATCCTATCTCGGACTAACTCGGTGAACTCCGGGATGTGTTCTGGAATTGTCTTGGAGGAAATAGCAAATCTGAAAAAAGACAAGAGAAATAGTGTTAGAGGAACGGCACACTTTAGAAGCTCCTTTCTGCCATTCCCGGCAGGAAACAGTAAATCGTCTGTGAGTGGTAGCGGGTAGAATATACACTCTCAGACACTCTACGAACTATTTTTTCAGTAAACCTACAGTTTAATTATTTTTTCTGCAATTGTAGTCCAAGTACAGAAAAAATAATCAGCAACCTTACAGAAAAGTAGTCTGTTGATAATATTAGCGGCAACTAGAGTTAAGATCAAGCAGAAAAAAAATTACTGTTGCATTCTAGTAAAAATGATCTATAAATGTAGGCAAAATGTTCTCTACATACAGATAATATATACAAGAATTAACAGAAAAGATTTAAAAGAGTCAGAATAATTTTTTGGATGTTTCCGCTAAAAGTCACAACTCAACCATCTTTTGAAAGCCGCTTACATTGAGTCCTTTCTTGACTTGTCGAAGCTAAAAATGTTTTGTAGGATCATTTTGAATAAGCGCATTTCCTTCCAATCAGCTTTGTTTGAACGGAGAAAAATTTCACTGAACATATTTACTAAAGATCACAAACAAGTCATCGACAAATTATTTGTGAGGGCAAACTTTATATCCTACATTTGCAGAATATGAATTCTTTGATTATAAACAAATTTGTCATCATATTTCTACTGACATTGTAAATTTTGTGTAATTAAGAAAAAGATTGTCTAAAAATACCAAATTTGTTACCGCTAATTCATCTCTATCTCATGTAAAATTCATTCGATATGTTGTTGAAAATATTTACTATATCATAGTAACGCTCTAAAATCACTAAGCCGTAGAGTAAATTTTCTACAATATAGAAAAAGTAATCAGTTAAGGTCTGAGAGTGAACAACATGGGAAAGTATGCACTGCCATCATAAAGACACAAATTTACAGGTGGTTCTTACCTGTCTGCAGCAGGCATTGAATCAATGAGGGGCTTGACAATATCCTGAAAAGCTGGGTAATCCAACACCTTAAAAGAGAGCCCACTTTCAGTAACTAATCTGACGCAGTGCACCTGCAGGGCTGGTTTGGACATCTTCACTCCATTAAGAGTGCTCGGGTAAAGTTTCCGCTTCTTTGGAGCAGAGTTGAACTTATTAGCCTCTGCCAAGGTAGTTGCATGAAGCTTTCGATGGTGGGCTTTCAAATGCTTCATTAAATTACCCGCATGATAATTCTGCAAAGATAAAAAAAAAAAAATTAGCCATGCAGACTCAGAGAGAGAGGGAGAAACAGACAGACAGAGAGGGAAAAAAAGGGGGGGGGTGCTAAAGAGGGACCACGAAAAACCGCGAGCGTGGACGAACCCATCCGGCGGCGAAAGCTGGAGTCGCCTAGATGTCAACGCGCACGGCTCGGGCCCGGCGCCTGGCCTGGCGGACGCGCGGCGCGGCGGTGTGCCGTCAGGTTGACGGGCATGTTGGGCACCATGACGAACAGGCGCAACGAGGCACGGCGACGCGCGTCTTGTTGGCGACGCGCACGGCTCAGGCCGGCGCCCGGCCTGGCGGACGCGCGGCGCGGCGGTGTGCCGTCGGGTTGACGGGCATGTTGGGCACCACGACGAACAGGCGCAACGAGGCACGGCGACGCGCGTCTTCTTGGCGACGCGCACGGCTCAGGCCCGGCGCCCGGCCTGGCGGACGCGCGGCGCGGCGGTGTGCCGTCGGGTTGACGGGCATGTTGGGCACCATGACGAACAGGCGCAACGAGGCACGGCGACGCGCGTCTTCTTGGCGACGCGCACGGCTCAGGCCGGCGCCCGGCCTGGCGGACGCGCGGCGCGGCGGTGTGCCGTCGGGTTGACGGGCATGTTGGGCACCATGACGAACAGGCGCAACGAGGCACGGCGACGCGCGTCTTCTTGGCGACGCGCACGGCTCAGGCCGGCGCCCGGCCTGGCGGACGCGCGGCGCGGCGGTGTGCCGTCGGGTTGACGGGCATGTTGGGCACCATGACGAACAGGCGCAACGAGGCACGGCGACGCGCGTCTTCTTGGCGACGCGCACGGCTCAGGCACGGCGCCCGGCCTGGCGGACGCGCGGCGCGGCGGTGTGCCGTCAGGTTGACGGGCATGTTGGGCACCATGACGAACAGGAGGTACGGCGGCGACGCGCGTCTTCTTGGCGACGCGCACGGCTCAGGCCGGCGCCCGGCCTGGCGGACGCGCGGCGCGGCGGTGTGCCGTCGGGTTGACGGGCATGTTGGGCACCATGACGAACAGGCGCAACGAGGCACGGCGACGCGCGTCTTCTTGGCGACGCGCACGGCTCAGGCACGGCGCCCGGCCTGGCGGACGCGCGGCGCGGCGGTGTGCCGTCAGGTTGACGGGCATGTTGGGCACCATGACGAACAGGAGGTACGGCGGCGACGCGCGTCTTCTTGGCGACGCGCACGGCTCAGGCCGGCGCCCGGCCTGGCGGACGCGCGGCGCGGCGGTGTGCCGTCGGGTTGACGGGCATGTTGGGCACCATGACGAACAGGCGCAACGAGGCACGGCGACGCGCGTCTTCTTGGCGACGCGCACGGCTCAGGCCGGCGCCCGGCCTGGCGGACGCGCGGCGCGGCGGTGTGCCGTCAGGTTGACGGCCACGTTGGGGACGACAGGGCACAGTCGGGACTGTGACACACTCGTACAACCGGGACAAGTGGACGCTCGTGTTTACACAATTACTTGCCCTGAACAAAACTCGTGCTACATGATATACTTACAAGTACTTCTGGCCGCGTACAGGTCTTGACCGTGCACCGGGAGATTTTGTCCACTGGTGAATAAACAAAAAGGGCGTGGACGGGATGTGTCGCGGTCCCGGGTGGTCGACCCTTCTTCTTTACGGGGAACACTTCCTCCACGTCCATGTCGGTAGGCGACGAGGACGACGTCGTTGTTGACATCCCGGGTGAACAGGTGAACTTGTCGCCCCAACAAACAAACCCGATCTGTCGCCCGCTGGCCGGCCGGCTGGCTCGCTGGCTCGCTGAGCCGTCGGTGGCTGCGCTAGGGGCGGGTATAGGGGGCGGCGGTGCAGTGGACGGGCGAAAAGTTCGGCTGTGGCTGACGCCGTAGCCACGACCGTCGAGACGACCTGTCGGACGATGCCGCAGCCGGCACTCGTCGCTCTGTCTCCCTCGCACTCACGGGGTGTTCCGTAGGGGTGCGAGAGAGACAGAGCGACGGGTGCCGGCTGCGGGCGGAATCGCTTGACAGATGACCCCCGACCCCCCGCCCCCAGTATCGCGCTCGGAAGCTGTCGTCGCTCTGTTCCTCTCGCACCCCTGGGAGAGGCCCTTGGAGTGCGAAAAAGACGGAGCGACGAAATAATTCCTCGTGATCAGGTGGCTGGCTGCTTCGGCATTTCGCTCGCATCGGACGGCCCCACGCCAAGCTGCATGCGGCCTGTGTTTCGTTCTTAGACTGCACTTCTACAAGTTTTTTTCAAAAGACCTACCCTATAGGTAACTGTTATGCCTTAAACAGCCGCGGATGGAAGAGGGGGGGGGGCGTAATAAAGCCCCCTTCCCCGACGACTGGGGCACTTCTTTACCCCTGGAAGTAGGCAAAATTCATTTCATTAGCCCCTCCTAGACAAATCCTAGATCCACGCTTGGCCGTACGTATGCGTTCGCCCCCCTCCACTCCTGTACGGCTTGCCTGCAAGAGAGCTGCGTGGCCGCGCTAAATGACAAATCTTCTCGTTCTGGGTACCAAAATTTGCCACTCGATATTCGAATTACCCTTCACCTTCACGTCATTGATATCTTTCCTCGACCGAGTAAATAACGTTATAAGCCGTTATTTTATTTAACATTTAACTTTTTATTCTAGCATTAACGTTACTCGCTTCATACCGTTCACTAAAAGCAAAAATATATCGGTTTAAAGATGGAACGTTAATATATTTAACGTTATATTATTCCAGGTGAATTTAACGTTACCCTGTGACCGATAGAGGATTTTCTATGACTAAATTTGTTGCCACCCATAACCGATAAAATCTTAACATAGAGTTTTCGTTATTATAAAATAACGTTATATAGTCCCGTCTACGAAAAAGTTATCGGGTATAACTTGTATCTTATAACGTAACGGTTATTACTGCAGTTATGTTAAGTTATCCCGCCCTGCCAAAGACATCCAATGGACATCCATTCTCATCCACCGCCATCCATTATCATCCATATGACATCCATTCTCATCCACCAACATCCACTCACATCCAAATGACATCCATTCTCATACACCGTCTCCATCATTAACGTCCATATGACGCCTAATCTCATCCATCGTCATCCATTAACTTCCATATGACATCCATTCTCGTCCATCGACATCCATTCACATCTAAATGGTCCTGTGGAGGAGCTCCCAAAGGAAGTTTCTTAACCTAAACGACCGTTGGGCGCCAAGGCCGAAAGGACCAAGTATGGTGAATGATCGCAAAAATGTCCTACAGCCTACTTAAAACATCAACCAACACTGTAACCGAGAACGAACAACGGAACGTTGAGCACAGCGCCATCTGGCGGCGGCTCCATGAACCTCATTCTCACACTGCGAATGTTCGGGCGCTCACATCACCGACATACATTCTCAACGACCGTCATCCATTTACATCCATCGTCACCCACATGCATCCAAATGCCATCTCTTTGCATCCCAGCAACAACTAGGCACATCCCAGCGACATCCATTCAGATCCAAGTGACTTCTATTCGAATCCAAGTGACTTCCATTCACATCCATCGCCATCCACTCACATCCAAACGACATCCCTACTATTACAGTCACATCCATTCACATCCAAATGACATCCATTTTCATCCATTCACATCCAAATGACATCCATTCTCATCCATTCACATCCAAATGACATCCATTCTCATCCATTCTCATCCATTCACATCCATTCACATCCAAATGACATCCATTCGCATCTATTCTCATCCATTCACATCCAAATGACATCCTTTCAAATCCATTCTCATCCATTCACATCCAAATGACATCCATTTACATCCATTCTCATCCATTCACATCCAAATGACATCCATTCACATCCATTCTCATCCATTCACATCCAAATGACATCCATTCACATCCAAATGGCATCCAAGTGACATGGATGTTATTTGGATGAGAATGGGTGTCATTTGGATAAAAAGGGATGACGGTGGATAAAATTGGATGTCATTTGGGTATGAATGGATGTAAATGGATGTCATTTGGATGTGAATGGATGAAAATGGATGTCATTTGGATGTGAATGGATGTGAATGGATGAAAATGGATGTCATTTGGATGACAATGGATGTGAATGGATGTCATTTGGATGTGAATGGATGTCAATGGATGTCATTTGGAAGTGAATGGATAAAAATGGATGTCATTTGGATGTGAATGGATGACAATGGATGTGAATAGATGTCTTTTGGATGTGAATGGATGTCATTCGGATCGAATAGAGGTTATTTGGATGTGAATGGACGAAAATGGATGTGATTTGGATGTGAATGGATGTAAATGGATAAAAATGGATGTTATTTGGATGTGAATGTTTGTCGTTTGGATGTGAATGGATGATGGTGGATGGGAATGGATGTCAGGTTTTTGGTCGTGGCTGGATGTCGGTGGATGCAAAAGGATGTCGTTTGGAAGTACAAAGCCCATTGACTTAAATGGATGTCGTTGGAGACGAGCGGATGTCCCACGGAAGTCAGTGGATATCCTTGGACGTTTGTGGATGTGGCTGGGAAGGCAGTGGATGTCGTTGGATGAGGTTGGATGAGATTGGATGTGGCTGCGTAGTAGGTGGATGTCGTTGGACGTAAGTGGAAGTCGTCTGGAAGTTGGTGGAAGTCATTGGACGTGCGTGGATGTGGATGAGTAGACAGTGGATGTCGTTGGATGAGAATGGATGTGGCGGGGAAGGTGTGGATGTGGATGGACGTGAGTGGATGTCACTTGGAAGTCCGTGGATGTCTTTGGACGTGTGTGGATGTGGTAAGGAAGCTAGTGGATGTCCATGGACGAGAATGGATGTGGCCGGCAGGTGGGCGGATGTCGTTGGACGTGAGTGGATGTCGCCCGGAAGTCAGTGGAGATGTATGGACGAGTATGGATGTGACTGGATGTCAGTGGATGAAAATGGAGGGAAATGGATGAATTTGGATGTCTATGGAAGAAAATGGACGACTTTGGATGTGAAATCCGATCTCCAACCACATCCAAGTTCTACCAGGGTAATGAAGGGTTCTTATGAGGGATGTCAAAAAGTTCTGGACAATCAGTACTTTCGTTTCTCAGGAAGGACATGTACGGTCCCCAGGTATCGTGAGGTCCTCTCCTATGCTGCTCATCAAGACTTTTCTTTCTTTTCTTGCAATCGGTTGTGTCCACCTGGATGTTGTACTTCTCTTTCATGGTTTCTACAATACTGGCAAAGGCAGTAGAGGTACCCAAAAATTTGCCTCGGGACTTATCATTCATTTTGTAATGACAGCACTCCTGAAGGAAGCACTGAGTGGCCCAATCCCCATCCAGGCTCGTACTTGGTCTGGTGGAAATAGAGCTGTCCTGCATGCACTCAACCTGCAGAAGTTGATTCTCTCATAAAAGTAACCAACTTAACATTATCAATGAAAAAACAGATTTATACGTACAGTGCCATGAACACCAAAGCTGGCATCAAGTTGAGATTCGTCTTGCTTAAGTTCCACCACATCTGCTAGATAATTAACTGTTCGTACTGTATTGCACAAGAATGAAGAAAAATATTCATTTGCCACCTACAAAAGAGTGAATTTCATTAGTGATCAGTATTATTATTCAGTTCTCATCATTATTGATTTGAAGTAAACCTCAAGTTTTATTGATGAGCCCACTTTGGGGTGAATCTTTTTGATTATTTCCTCATTTGGCTTTCTAACTATGCCATGCTTTGTTGCGTATGCATCAATAATCATCTTGAAGAGCCCCTGTACATGAAAAGTACACAAATTAGTCACATGAAAGAACACAAGATATGAAATTGACAGAACAACTCAAATACCTCATCCATGGTAGTGACATTAAATGCAAACACCTCATGGGCTCTGGGAGGTTCATCCAGCTTCAATGAAATCTCATCTGCCATGAAAAAGAAAGATTTCAGATGACTGGCAGCTTTGGCAACCTGATCATCTAAGAACTGTAAATAAGAATCAGAAATCCATGAGATTACTTTGGGTAGATCACATTTAGTGACCAGTTCTGACAGCAAAAGAACAAACCTCAATAATGAGAGATGTTTTATCATCACCATAATGAACCATTTTTATGATTTCATCACCTTCATTAATAGTGCTATTTTTAATGAGATGTGCCTTTAGTGTTCTGTCAAGCATCATCTGTCAACAGACAAGAATTGTTACACCTAATTAGTCAGAAAGTGACAAGATATTATTGAATGATGAATATTCAACAAAAGTTACTTGACTGTTACCTCCATACTGGTATCTGTGCTAGTAAAGCCAGATGCAATTACTTTCACTATTTTTTTCTGGGGTGGTTCAGCTGCCTTTAATTCTACTTCATCCGCCAGAAAATGTATCTTCTTCAACTCACAGGCTGCCTTGGCTATTGCTTCATTGACAAACTAAAGTGAAATGAACTGATTAGATTTTGTACACACAAATTATGAATTGCAGTGAAAACATTGACACGCACCTGAATTACTACAGGGTTTGATTTGATAACTTTGCTAAAAATTTTACCCTTCTCTTTTATGGAGCCATTTTTTATCAGGTAAGCTTGCAGAACCATTTCTAAGGCGTCCTGAAAGAGAGGCAACATTTGCATCAATAACAATCAATGTAACATTGAACAGAAAAAAAAAAGAATTTAAGCTTACTTCAACAAATGTTTCAGGTAATCCCGTCACAGTTACCATGAGGGAATAATCGGTAAAACTTTCATTCACAGTAGTCTCCTTAATTAGAAAAATAAAATTAAAAGAAAATTAATTTGTAACCAAAGCCTAAAATTGTGACAATGAAATATATACTTGCACATCATCTTACCACAACTTCATTGGTGTTCCCTGCACCTGCTTCATTTGTGGAAAGATGTAACAACTGCTCAGTAGCGTGATCCTCTTGAACAGATGCATCAGTGTCCTGCCCTGCACCTGCTTCATCTATGGAAAGATTAAGCAACTGCTCAGCAGCGTCATCCTCTTGAACAGGTGCATCAGGGTCCTGCAAAAAGGATGAAATGGAGTATGACACCACAGTCACAACTGTCTCTGTAAAACGTAGCTACGATGTTTAGTTACCTTGTTGTTATTCGAGTCCTTCATTAGCGGTATGCGTCGCTTAGCATTAGAAACCATTCTCACTGAGAACAGAAGCAAGCATTAATTCATTATCCTTATATAAATTATACTGCACTGTTCAGTTGTTATTTTTCTCACCAGGAGTAGAGGCGATAATGGACTTGGCATTGAATGAAATCGCCATTGTTTCGTTGATAACAGTCTCGTCAAGATGTAGTGGCGATTCCATTTCAATTGCATTGCGATTATAAGTCACGCCCTTCAAAGATGCAACTCGGTGAGCAATATCAGCATTTGAGAACTATCAAACATAGAAAATAGGTACCACCACTTACAAAAGAGCACACTCAGAAAGGAAAATCAGAGTAGAGGATTATGCAACACATACTTCGATAAAGATGTAATCTTCTCTTGGGAAGTCAATACATTTTACAATAGATGTTTTCAGCCCAGGCTCTATTTTGTTCCTGATCCTTAGTCTCTCGAAAAAGGCAATTACAGATCTCTGAAAGCAAATAAGAGTTAAGACGAGTACAAAAGTACAAGACCTGCAGGAATTACAAACATGCAGCAGCAACAGTTGTACGTACCTCCATGAGGGGAGATGGGAGACCAGTAACTCGGATAGAGTTTTTGGCTTCCCACTGAGGCGGGGGGGCCTTCATTTTTTTTCGTGCTGGACTCCTCAGGTCATCTGCACCTGCCATAATAAAACATAACAATGTCGAAGCCCTAGAATTCAAGGCTCAGCATAGGGGATCAAGCTAGGCAGCCTTGCAGCAGGTTATGTCTATAGGCTTTCAGCCCATAATATTGAAAAAGTTAACTGAGACCATGAGCATGTTAAGGTAAACTTATACTAAACTTACCTATTGGTTCGTTCATTGTAATGTTAAGGCTTTTACTGACGTTTATGATAGAATGTGCGCTCGATCAGGTAAGAAACCAAAGAGAACACCGATCCCGACACACCAAAGCCCGCCAAACTGGGACAAGACAAACGCCGATCGTGTATTCTTATTCGCAGAACGCACACTGTTTGCACTGCGCCCATCCCCCTCCACGTCGTCATGAAGCAATCAGAAATATCTCCTTCAATCACGAATGAGGCCTCGAAATAAAAATATAACTGCATAATTATGATCCTGGCACCTTCCCCTTTTCAAAAATGTGCCATTTATGCCATTTCGATCACTTTAAAGGGAAAGGGTTTCCCCATGCGGACGCAAGTTCCGCGCGTCCGCACGGATTCCGCACGGACTTCCGCAAATCCGGGCTAAACTGGACACACCCCCAATCCGACTGACTCACTCACTCACTCACTCACTCACTCACTCATAGAAATGTTTGGGGTGAAGGAGTGGTCGTAGAGACTTGCGGTTTTTTTCCCTTCGATTCCAAATTTTTTGGGGAAAAAGGGAAAAATCCCAA